GGGGGGGGGAGGGCGACCGGCTACCCCCTCTCGCTGCCAGCACTGCGACCACGGGCGGTACCACGAGCGCGTGCGAGGATGGGCGACGGGTGAATGCGCGCGAGGGGAGGGACAAAAGCTGCGCTTGAGCTTGACGCGGTAGCGGGGCCCTTCCCTTTGCGCATCACTTCAGCGTGGACAAGTAACGTGTGTCCGTCAGGGCAGGCCCGTGCGGCTGTATGACGCGGCGTTACGTGTTTTGCTGTGTTCTGATCGACGCGCTTCCAAAAAACCAAATAAAATCAGTGTGTTCCAACCCGTGCCTGTCCTGGAGATCCGAGTCTTCCAGATGCAGAGGCCTGTGGCCGCAAGGAGGCCAAGCACCGTAAGGATGTACTCCAAGTATTTCCAGGAATTAAACTTAAGTTTAAAAACCCTCAAGAGACCAGGAACAGATTAAGATGAAAGCAACCGGGGGGCGATAGGCAACTCTGCATTGCCATACCCCAACACCAGGGTCTCAAAGCGAGGGCCAGAAGGTAGGACGGAGAAGGTAAGCACGAGGTAAGTCTGAACCACAGCGCCGATGGCTCTGCAGGGTGAGCCCCTGGCTCAGCCACGATGGAGTCCACCGGTGCCTTGGCAGCAGGGTACTCTGAACAGAACGAGAAACACAGGAACGTGCGAAGTCCAGAAGCTTTGGCACAGGGAGAGGCTGAGGAACACCAGTGAGGAACGGCGAGAGTACAAACCTTTATTAAAAATAAGATCCTATAAATAAAATAGGAAAGCAAAAGCCTTTTTCCACTCGCTTCCTCCCTGCACAAATCAGTTGCTTCAGGTTACTCCCACAGCCTGACGCCTCGTGAAGAGTAAGGAGTTGCAGCAAATCCATGCTGGAAAACAAGGAATTAGGCCCAGTAACACAACTGCATAGAGGCGACACGGCAAGAGCATTTTCTTGGCCATCTATGAGAAGGCAGACGTCTCTGAGCATCTGTGAACTGCGCGCGGACGGGAAGATCAGGAGGTGCCACACAACTCTTCCACACCTGGAAGAAAGAGAACTGGGGATGTGAGTCACCACACGCCTCCCTCAGCGGACCGCTCTCACAGCCAAGCCCCACCGATGCCCTGAACACCCACAGGCGTGTCCTAAATGGCAGATAGTAAGGCGAGAGACTGACTAAGCCTTGCTCTGGTCTGTCCTCTCACTACCACTTCCCTCCACAAACAATTTAGAAGTTTTGAGGTAATCTTTTCCCGGAGGCAGCTCACTCCCAAGTCCACCCTGGAAAGCCCCGTACGTCTGAGGCACCGCCCAAAGCCCCCCGCTAGCCAGAGGGCCTCGCACTCCGCCTTACCCGACGGCTCCGGGTTACTGCACCAGTCTGTAGGTGATGTAGCGGCCCGCAGTCTCGCTCGGCCTGATGATCTTCACTACCTGGAAGGCCGACAGAAGGCGCTCATGAGGGAGAGAAGCTTCCGGCAGTGAGTGTGCCCTGCAGGGCTTCCCTGCCCGACACGGGCGCGTGCGCAGACCAGAGAGCGTGGCTGTAAAGCTGCGGCACTCGGCAGCCAGAGGCGGCTGGCGCTGAGCTCCCTGCTTCAGCTGGGGGTGCAGCATGGAAGTGCCACCCCCCCGTGCAATGGGAGAGGACAGAGCGGGGCTGGTGCCATGTCTGCTGCCTGTTCCCAGCTGGTGCAGTGGGCAGCCGAGACCGCTACCTCCTCGCTAGAAGTCTGCTCAGCTTACACGCGCTCGTACCTAACCTACCACAGCTCCTACGCTGGAGATATCCCTTCCTGCCTCCAAGAGTTCTGAAAAACCATAGAGGACCTCAGCCCCTTGCCCTGCCCACAGGGAACCATTGCCTGTGTCTACTTCTCCCTTACCTGGCCACGCTTTATTCCGAAGTACCGGGCCACAGGATCCCCGGCCTGTATCCTCGGGAGCTGGTTCTCTCTCAGCTTACTGTGCAGAGAGTCAAGGAGAAGCTCGCCCAGCAGGACACACAGCTGGCCCAGGTGCCCGTTCGTTAGCACAGCTCACTCAACGCAGCAATAAGCTGTCGCACGCAGATGTATTTGTTTGCAGCCCAAAGTGGGCACGCATCACACCCGTGCAGGGAGGGAAGGAACAAACAAAGGATACTATCTGGCCAGCAGCTCAGTTACCTCTTCCTTTGTCATGACAACATGCTCTGGGACCAACTGTAAACAGTGGGGGAGAGAGGCTGTAAGATTAGAAAGCCAGAGGAAGCGCCTGGCTCCTCACAGCGTCGGGGAAGCAGCACATTTGTAAGGAAGAAAACAATGACTGCATCACTCAGCCCAGCCTTCCAACCAAGAGGGCTCTGGGAGCAGCCCCAGCCCCAGCTCAGACTGATCATCCCACCCTTGCTCCGCTGCCTGGCACCGCTCACCTCGTGTTCTGTGATGTTTATCAGGAGCTCTTGCTGCAGGAACTGCTCCAGGATGTATTTGGGAGCCATATCTACCAGGGACTGAGAAGGGAAAGGTCTGTCAGGCTGCAGCACTGCTCTGGGACAACCCTGCCTCTGCTCAGACCTGCTCCTCAGTGAACACCACTCACTGCAAACGTGGAACCACTGCACTCGCGCTCACACCGATACAGCTATGCAGGCAAGGAGGGCACAGACCTCTTGACCACTGGCAAATCAGCCTCCTGATGGGCTATCCGCTGTTCTTCTGGGGCCAGAAGGACGAGAGGAAACGGCCTCAAGTTGTGCCAGGGCAGGTTTAGATTGGATATTAGGAAAAATTTCTCCATTGAAAGGGTTATTGGGCACTGGAACGGGCTGCCCCCGCTGAGTGCCCATCCCTGGGGGTATTTAAAAGCTGGGCAGATGCGGTGCTTCGGGACAGGGTTTACTGGTGGACAGGTACGGTTGGGCTCGACAGTCTTACAAGTCTTTTCCAACCAAACAATTCTGTGATTCTATGACCAGAACCACTCATTCCGGTTAAATGCGATGCGCTTGCCTGCTAAGCAAGCTCCTATATTAAGGTACAACAGGCTTTAGCGATTTTATCTGGAAGGAAATTCCCAGCTTTTGTTAACCTAAAGCAGCACTGGAGAGCATCCCCAGGGTGCGGTAAAATCAGCCTCCTGATGGGCTATTCGCTGTTCTTCTGGGGCCAGAAGGACGAGCGGAAACGGCCTCAAGTTGTGCCAGGGCAGGTTTAGATTGGATATTAGGAAAAATTTCTCCATTGAAAGGGTTATTGGGCACTGGAACGGGCTGCCCCCGCTGAGTGCCCATCCCTGGGGGTATTTAAAAGCTGGGCAGATGCGGTGCTTCGGGACAGGGTTTACTGGTGGACAGGTACGGTTGGGCTCGACAGTCTTACAAGTCTTTTCCAACCAAACAATTCTGTGATTCTATGACCAGAACCACTCATTCCGGTTAAATGCGATGCGCTTGCCTGCTAAGCAAGCTCCTATATTAAGGTACAACAGGCTTTAGCGATTTTATCTGGAAGGAAATTCCCAGCTTTTGTTAACCTAAAGCAGCACTGGAGAGCATCCCCAGGGTGCGAGGCTGAGCTGGGGAATGCCACTGAGGTGCATATCTGGAAATAATGAAGCTATTTCCAACCTTCTAGAGGTGGTTTGGGTCTCCTTGTGCTGAATCTGAGACTGCAGGAGAGCATCAAACTCAGACCTACAAGACCTACAGCAGTAGAGCTGCTTTGGCCACAACCGCATCCTCCACCAGCCCATTTCCAACCCTGTGTCCTCTCGGTGTGCATCCTGTCTTCCTCTGAACACAACATAACCAGCCCCACAGCCCGAATAGAATGATAGAATCACAGAATGTTTTGGGTTGGAAGGGACCCCTAGAGGTCACCCAGCCCAACACCCCTGCAGGAGCAGGGACACCTTGAACCACATCAGGTTGCTCACAGCCCCGTCCAACCTGGCCTGGGATGTTCCCAGGGATGGGGCCTCCACCCACTCTCTGGGCAACCCCTGCCAGGGTTTCACCACCCTCGGTGTAAAGAATTTCTTCCTTAGATCCAGTCTAAACCTACCCTGGTTTAGTTTAAAACCATTACCCCTTGTCCTGTCACAGCTGGCCCGACTAAAAAGGTTTTCCCCATCTTTCCTATAGGTATTCAATACTCCCTTAGGTACTGACCGGCTGCACTCAGCTCTGCCCGCAGCCTTCCCTTCTCCAGGCTGAACACCCCCAACTCTCCCAGCCTGGCCTCAGAGCAGAGGGGCTCCAGCCCTTGGATCATTTTAGTAGCCCTCCTCTGGCCTCATTCCAACAGCTCCATGTCCTTTTGGTGCTGAGGGCTCCAGAGCTGGACGCAGGGCTCCAGGTGAGGTCTCCCCAGAGCAGAGGGGCAGAATCCCCTCCCTCAACGCTGGCCACGCTGCTGGGGATGCAGCCCAGGGTAGGGTTGGCTTCTGGGCTGCCAGCGCCCATGGCCGGCTCATGTCCAGCTTTTCATCCCCCATTGGGAGCCATATCTACCAGGGACTGAGAAGGGAAAGGTCTGTCAGGCTGCAGCACTGCTCTGGGACAACCCTGCCTCTGCTCAGACCTGCTCCTCAGTGAACACCACTCACTGCAAACGTGGAACCACCGCACTCGCGCTCACACCGATACAGCTATGCAGGCAAGGAGGGCACAGACCTCTTGACCACTAGCAAATCAGCCTCCTGATGGGCTATTCGCTGTTCTTCTGGGGCCAGAAGGACGAGCGGAAACGGCCTCAAGTTGTGCCAGGGCAGGTTTAGATTGGATATTAGGAAAAATTTCTCCATTGAAAGGGTTATTGGGCACTGGAACGGGCTGCCCCCGCTGAGTGCCCATCCCTGGGGGTATTTAAAAGCTGGGCAGATGCGGTGCTTCGGGACAGGGTTTACTGGTGGACAGGTACGGTTGGGCTCGACAGTCTTACAAGTCTTTTCCAACCAAACAATTCTGTGATTCTATGACCAGAACCACTCATTCCGGTTAAATGCGATGCGCTTGCCTGCTAAGCAAGCTCCTATATTAAGGTACAACAGGCTTTAGCGATTTTATCTGGAAGGAAATTCCCAGCTTTTGTTAACCTAAAGCAGCACTGGAGAGCATCCCCAGGGTGCGGTAA